TCCAACATCAGTGTCTAACAAATATCATCATTTCCCATATAATCCTATACAATATGTTAATTTTTCAAGAGATTATAAAGGTTACAATTTAGACAAAAAAACAAGAAAGGTTAAACATATGATTACCCTGCTGCAGGTCTTCATTCATTCTCTGAGCAAGATCATTCAGGTTCATTTTCTTCAAGATTTCAAGCATGACATTGAGAGCATCAACTTCACTGTAGGAACTTATCATCTTGTCGGCGAGGTCTGTTCTATCCAAGTCCTTCATCTGAGCCCTGGAAAGGGGCTTTAACTCTTTATATTTTGTGCGACTCAGTTTCGATTTAAACTTCTTCAGCTCTTCATCATCGAGCTCCTCCAGGTAATCCTCCAAGAGGTCGGTGAGCGAGGTCTGGGTCTGCAGAATGTCGGAGATGAGTCCATCAGACCTCACAAACTCATACATGGTCACTCCTACACATGCACTGACCTTTCAGTTAACAGAAGGCAGGTTTCCTGCTCATAGTCTTATGTGGCTGCTGGAGACACCTGCTGTGGTTCTTTCATTATTATAAGTGTGTGTTTATTTTCTGCATTATTATTAAACCTATATTTAACCAGGTCACTCAACTGATTTTTAAAATCTCTTTTAAGAGAGACCTGTCCAATTTAAAAAGCAGTAAAAATAGTTTAAGACCCAATAGAGCACATTAAAACAATAGGTTGAAAAACAAATTATGGTATGGTAAGGAAGTAGCCTGAGGAAGAGCGCTGTGGAGAGTGAGCTGTTTGTCTGATATTTTCAGCAAACTTCAGCTGAAAATAGTTACTCATCTTAAGCTTTCCTGCCTTTCAGTGTCAGGTTTTTACAGACAACATGCATCATATGCTGAGACGTTATAGCCAAACCTCTCCATGGGAATGATGAGCCATTACTTAGATGATTTTGGCTGGAAAGAAACCAGTTCCTGTGCATCACAGTCTGACTCTGTAATAAAAACCAAAAGTAATGTTAGCTTTATATTCAAAAGTCAGTTTACCAGCTGTAATGTCTTTCAACCAAAGCAAACTGGGCAGTTTTTATTCACACGCAGGCAGTTTATAATCACAGGCAGAGATGTTCACTGATCATTTGGACTAATAACTATTGGCTGTATTCTACCATGTGTCAAAAAAGTGTGTAGCCCCTGACATGAGCACTTTTAAGCACCTTTCCAACTATATGCTCTGGAGGACTGTATTTGTCACAGACTACAATAATAATAATAGACACTTTATTGGTCTCCATGGGGAAATTCTCTTTATGCCTCCCCCCAATTTGCCCTTCATAAGTCAAAGCAAGCTGGCTGTGAAGGGCAGCCACCCACAGCAGCACCCAGAGAGCTGGGGGTTAAGGGCCTTACTGAAGGACCTGCAGATGTGCCAAGGCCAGACTCAAACCAGCAACTTTCTGATCACGGGCACAGAGCCACATGCTACCCCAAAATGGCCCCCAAATGAGCTCTTCTTCCAAGTTTGAAATGACCTTGCTCTCTAAATTGTTTGTATCTGTTGGTTTCACTACTCAGCTTTCGGGCTGCAACGATTCACCCAGTCAGTTACTCCCAGATACACATCCCCTCCACTGGTCTACAGGGAAGTGGGCGGTTACAGAAGCTGCCCAGCAAAAGGCTTCAGCTCTAAGGGCCGGTTTAAACTCGACACTCGCAATGCGTTTGCTTAAGCATCATCAAAGTCAAAGTCAGCTTTATTGTCAATTTCTTCACATGTACTAGACATACAAAAAAATCGAAATTACGTTCCTCACTGTCCCATGCGCAGACAAGACACGACAAGACATGACCGGATAGGACAAACAGCAAAGTGCAAAGGCACAACAAAAAACACATCCTAACTACTGAGTAACAGTATATAAAGTGCAGGTAGCTTAAGGCATATACTCTTAGAAATTAGAGTGTAATAATAAGTGTTTCCAGTATTATAAAGTGTTTATGTGCTGAGACATTCAATAATAGCAGCTGAAATTTTAATAATAATAATGGTAACAGATGTGTGCAATTGGCATAGTGCAGAGGTAGTTGTTCCTGTGGGTCAGAGTCCAGAGTGTTTTCTTTTTAGGGGGGGGCAGATTCCCGGTCACTTGCCAGTCTGACAGATAAATCATCTGAATGAAAGACAAAGTCGGCTCAACTTTCATTGTTTGGAATTCTTAGTACGTAAGACTAAAATTTTTAAGTTTTTATACATATGAAAGATAAATTATCTGGCCAAATATTTTTGTTAAAAGATAAGGGGTTTTCTTCATCACACAAAACTTTGATCGAGTTGGCCTCAAAATGTAAAACCTAGTGCAGTAAGTAGCCTTGCAATTTAAGCTGTCTTAACGTTTTCTTTTTTACAGTGCATGTAATAACAGATCGAGGAGCAGGGCCGGTGCTTCACGTACGTGGCTGGGCCCAGGACAGCTTTACAATTTTGCCCTATAAAAAAAACACTATAACCACCTCTAGGCATATTTTTTATGGTTTCTGAGAAACTGGGTCTACTTGCCATGGTGTGAACGTACTGGCCCAGTCTGAATTGGTTAGTCTTTCTGGTGACAGCCCTGCATCATCATCACAATGCTTTTCTGACTCAACCTGCTGTGTCACCTCTTCCTCAGTCTGACACTGATGCTCCGTAATGCATTCTCCTTCATCTACCTTCGCAACATTTATCTTATGGGCCTGTCAAAAAAAGAAAATATTATGCTACTTGCACGTACTGTAGTTATTAACTACAAGTAATAACGGGAAAGTACAATTCTTTACTTCCCGTCTAATATTTTCTGCAACTGCTGACCTGTCGAATATTAATTCTTCCATCCGTATGATACATTTATGGAGCATCGGAGAGCATTACGTAATACTATTATACACGTGCGCCCTAACCGAGAGTATGCTATTCTGATAGGTATGCTAAAATGTCAGAAGAGCTCATGACATGTTTATAATTCATTATTAAATCTGGCCAGTAGATCGATCTTTCTTTTTCCACATAATAAATAACGATGTAATATCATTCCACTGATCGGCAGGTTCCACAGACAGCCGACGCACTGGGTGTGTTCGAGGCCAGAATGTAAATCATTATAGGCAGGTTGGAGAGATCCGACATCCCCCGGTCTTGTAGTCAGGCACATAGCAAAGCATTTAAATTGCGCTTTGAACGCGCCCCCCGAGAAGTTTGTTTGCTGCCGATCAGACACCGGCAGCCAGTTACGGTAATTCCGCCCCCCGAAATGAACCGAGAGGATCCCTCCGGTCGGCGAAATCTACAGAAGGGGGCAAGTCACAGCACCCGCTCTAAATAATCTTGCTCCCCCGTAGCACCTGT